ATATGAATTGATCGACAAAGGAGTTCCAATTTTTCTAGATTCGATTTCCAAATTTGGTAATAATCCTGACTGTATTACTTCATAAAATGTTTAAAAATTTATATTTTAAAAAATAAAATTTCGATCTAGAATAAAAACCTTCATTCTGCTAAATCTAAATATTTTTTTTTATTGACCCAATCCTAAAGATCATTTTCAATTGAAAGATGTACCTCTCAATGCGCTCAAGGGATCGTCACATATTAATATTGAAAAACCAATTTAAAAATAAACGTAAGTATTGTACCAACAATATACACACCTACCATAAATATCCGACCACCTGACGATCATTTTAATAATTGGGAAACTTATATACAAGAAATGATGGTTACAAAAATAGGAGATTATATGACGCATAAAGAAAGTTTACAGAAAGGGGTAAGTTGGAAGATGGATGACGATGAAAAAATTAAGAAATTACGAGAGGACGGTTGCATTATTTCATGAATATTATTATTAATGTAGTGCGAGTAGTTTTTCTATATGTAATTATTTTAAAGCGACATAAAAATGGTCACTGTAATTTTTTTGAAGGTTACGATGGATAAAATATTCATAAAAGATGCTGTTAAAAATTTCGGCTTCCTTCCCAATCCCATATTAATATTGTTTTTAAAGTAATTCTCTTATCTACATTGTTCATAACTAATAAATAATCAAGGACAGCAGCAGAATTTTAATAAAATTATTAAAGATTTTGTCGAGAGAGCTCTAATTAATACATTGGGAGTTCTTTAATCGATTATTTCATATACTATTGCTACTCTCGTCTAATTTGATAAAAATGATGGAGAAAATGACAATTAAATCTGTTTAGTCCAAATATTGAAAACCAGAAGGAGGGCAAAGAACATTAAAATATGATTTTTTTATTAGACAAATGTTGTCAATATTAGTATAGAGTATGGTGCATGTCATCCAGTGTTTTTATTCTTGGACGTAATAATAATAATAATATTCGAATTATATTCAAATTTTCGAGTATTCAAATATTTCAAGAATTCGTAGTGTTTTCAGATATTTATGGCAATCAAGAACATTACAACGCTTATGGCATAAAGGCATTGGATATATTTAATTTAATAATTGGTTTAATTATTGTTTTTATTAATAGAAAGAACTATTAACTAAATGATTAAACTGAATTGGTAATTGACATCTTCATTAAAGTAGTTCCATATAAAACTATCTTTAGGCCTTCCGTGCATTTTAGATTCGAATTTGTCTCTTCGTTGCCAATATATGATACAAGATTATTATTATCACCATTATCTGAAGGTTTTTTTTCAAAAAAATTTTCATTAAAAAAAACCCCCATTACGAGTATTCCGATATTAAAAAAAAAATTCAAACTCGTGTTACCGAACAAACAATTTTAAAATGTCAATACAAACTTTTGAAACTTCTCATGAAGACTTGATTCATGATGTTTCTTATGATTTTTATGGAAGACGCCTTGTCTCTTGTTCCTCAGATCAAAAGTTAAAGGTTTGGGATTTTAATCAAGAAACTAACGAATGGGAACTCAACCACTGTTGGAAAGTATGTGTGTGATATATACATATCTTTATTAGAGAATGCGTAAAATATTTATATATTTATATTTATCCCATCTTATATGTTTATGTGTTTATATAAAAGGCACATGAATGTTCCATTCTGAGAGCGGTTTGGGCACATCCAGAGTTTGGTCAAGTGATAGCATCGTGTTCTTTTGATCGTTCGGTTAAGATTTGGGAGGAAGAACATGGTATTTTTCACACTTACTTTTGATTTTATTAATATATATAGCTATCATTGATCGATGAAAGTTTTCATTTATATATTAATATAGAACCAAAAGAAGGCGGTAAAAGATGGGCTGAAAGAGCTACGTTGGTGGAAAGTAGGGGATCAGTTCAAGATATTGAATTTGCACCAAATTGCTGGGGATTAAAATTGGTAATATAATTTTTATATATCTTTTTGATAGTTTCCTATTTGAAAGTGAAAATCTTTTATTTTTTATTATTGTTATTAATCAAATATGTACGTGTAATAATTAGGCCACATGTGCAGCTGATGGGATGTTGCGTATATTTGAGGCATTGGAAGTTAATAATTTATTACAATGGAGTTTAATGGGAGAAGCAGAAATAACACCTGGAATTTCCACCAAAGAAGCTGAAAGAAATTATTGTATTTCATGGTGTCCATCTAGGACACAACTTCCGATGATAGCAGTAGGGTGTAGTAAAGAAAATTGTGTTAAAGTGCGTATTTAGCAAATGGTACTTGTAAAAGTACTTTTTTTAGTTTATATCATTCTATTTTTAATAATGATAATAATATTATGATTATTATTATTGAAGTCTAACAAAAAAATAATGTGTATATATATTTAAAAAAGATTTTCAGACCAGATTCACAAAATCAATGGAGAGCTTATGAAATATTAAATGGACATCTTGATGTTGTTCATGATGTGAGTTGGGCTCCAAATATGGGAAGGTAACATTTTTAAAAGGATAAATATTTCAATTTAAATATTTTTATTAATGACAATTTTTTTTTAAATTTAACTTAGGAGTTATCATCTTATTGCAACTGCTTCAAAAGATACTCATGTGAGAATTTTTAAACTAACAGAAAAAAAGGACGTTTATGAAGCTGTAAATGTGAGCAGTTTTCCTGACCATAAAGCTGAAGTAAAAATCAAAATTCTTTATTTTTCATTTATGTATTTTTATTTTTTATTTTATATATATATATATTTATTTATTTTATTTTATTTTCAAGGTTTGGAAAGTTGAATGGAATGTGACTGGAACTATTCTTACATCATCTGGCGATGATGGAAAAATACGATTATGGAAATGTAAGTAAATATTTAGATAAATAATTGAATAAAATTCAGTATTTTATTAATTAATTTTTTTTTAAAAAAATTTTAGTATCATTTAATGGTGAATGGAAATGTATGAGTGTTATAAGTTATGAAAAGCAGCCTATCAACTCGGAATATTAATTGTTAATATTATGTGTTTTTTTTTACTTACAAGGATCAATAATAACATTCTTAGAAAGATGGCTAATTTTGATAATATATATATATATATATATATGCATATTTATATTTAATAATAATGAACGAATTTTTGGAACAAAAATGTATATAGATGTGTATACCATTAGTTTATTTTTTTATTATAGTTTTTTATCTTTAAATAAAATCTAATGTTTATCGACGTGGAACACCTCTACCACGACCTCTAAAAGCTCTTGATGCACCGCCTCTAGGCATTTGAGGACCTGCATCAGGTTTTTCAGATTGTGGATTTTTTACAGTCTCGTCAACACTTAAGATCAAACAAGCAGCTTCTGTTGCAGCGGCGATAGCATTTGTTTTTACAAGTGCCGGTTCCCAAACAAAAGCTTCATAATTATCAGCAATAGACTCAGAATTGACATCAACACCATACCAAATAGAACCTATAATATATAAATTATAAATAAATATATTTACATGTTTATATTTATGAAAAATAAATTTTATTAATATATCTTACCATGAGCATGTTTCATTCTTAAATTATTTAAAATGTCTGTTGCATCGAACCCAGCATTATCACATAATTGACGAGGAATCACCTCTAATGCACGAGCGAATGCTCCTATAATCAATTGTTGTTTACCTTCTATCGTTCTAGAATGTTCACGAAGGAATTTTGACAATTCCATCTACAACATATATTCGAAGAGTAGAAATTATTGTGAGAAAATAAATATTTATATATGGTTATGATTTTTTTATCAATGATATCATCTTATCTAGTAAAACAACAAACCTCTGTTGCACCACCACCAGCAACCACCAAGTTATTTTTAATGGCACGTTTTACTATCATGATAGCATCATGTAAACTTCTTTCAACCTCGGCAATAAATTGTTCGGCACCACCTCTCAAAATCAACGTACATGTTTTTGCAGCAGGACAACCTTTAAACAAATTATATCTTTCACCGCCAATTTGTTTCTCTTCAAAAGATTCACATGTACCCAAATGTTGTTCTTGAATATCAGAACAAGTTGATTGGATAGTACCACCAACAGCACTAACAACACGATTAAGATCTTCAGTAGGTACACGACCTGCGCAAAAAATATCTCTATCGGCAAAATATTGAGTGGCCAAATCACCAATAGGAAGTTTAGACAGAACAACCTTTGCACCACTATTAACAATAGAGTCAAGTTTTGAATATATTATTGACCATTCTGCATCAACAATAGCTTGATATTCCTAATAATAGTAGTAGTAATAATAATAACTTTTTTAAGAATTACTCTGAAATAATAATAATCTATATTTGAAATTCAATATTATTATAACAAATAATTTTTATTTTATTTTTACATACATTAACGTCGTCAATACGAACTTCGGCATTATCTTTTTCTGCTTTTAATTCCAATTCAACATTTAAGGATAAAATTTTGGGATTTTTAAATGATTTTGGTTGTTGTTCAAATCCAGCATAAGAAAAGGTTTTTTTGAATGCAACACCGTCAACAAGAAGTGAATCCTATATTTATTTATTTATTTTTTTACGTAATATAATATATATATATATAATTGGATCAAATAAATCAGTTAATAAAAAAATGTGGGAAAGATCCTATTATTTATGTATGATTAAAAAAAAAAAATAATAAAATTAACCTGCATTGCGCCACCTGGAACTCTTTTTTTACCAATTAATTTTTCATCCAAATCTTCTTGATCTAATATCAATACAGCATCAACAACCATATTGGCAAAAAAATCTTTATGCGAATGAATCAACTTTGAAGACATGGCTGTTCCAGCACATTTCAAAAGTAAATCACGGAAATCACTTTATATAATATATATATATATATATATACAATGTTGACAATTAAGAAGAATCATTTAAATAAAATAAAGTAAAAAATAAAAAAATAACTATGCTTACTCTTTATTAGTTCTTTCAACTTTTACTGCAATTTCTTTAACTTTATTAATGGCCTATAAATATTTAATAAAATGTAAATTAACCATTATTATAAATAACATTATTATAAATACTACCAAAAATATTTATATTTGGATAATCTTTTTTACATTACCAATTGAGCAGCTTTTCTATAACCTTTAATGATAACATGAGGACTGACACCTTCTTCAATATAACCTTTAACTTCTTTCAACAATTCACCAGCAATAATCACTACACTAGTTGTTCCATCGCCAACCTAAAGTTTTCAATGATCGAGTAGAATAATAATAAACAAAGAAAAAATAATATATATATAAATCCTTTATATTTTAATGCATGATTGGTTAGGATCTTCATACACGTTATTCACACAAAATCGTACTTCTGCGTCCTGTGATCTTGCAATGTCAACTAAAGTTTTTGCAGCAGGATGAACAATATCAAGAAGTTTCATTATAGTAGCACCATCATTTGAAATTGTTACTTCACCTAGAATTTGGACATAGATATTATTCATATTGACATGCAAAATAACGAATGTGATCATAAAAAGAGGGAGAAATAGAAACCTTTCTCGTCAACAATTAATTTATCCATTCCTCTTGGACCAAGGGTAGTTCTTATAGTGTCAACTACTGCTAAGCATGCATTAATATTTGATAAAAGTTGACCACGTCCTTGTGAAGCATCTGTGCCTTCTTTAAGTAAAATAATTTGTGGTTGCTATTTTAAAAATCAATCAAAAATTTTAAATAACCATTTAATTTAAAATAACTATCAGAATTATTTATGGAAAATAAAAAATTAGAATACTACCATCATGGGTACACCTCTTCCTGCCATGTTTAAATATTTTAAATTAAAAAACTTTTTGAATTTTTGATCTGTTGGTTTTTCATGTATTTTTGTTACACGATCATGTTGGCTTATCACGTGATTAAAATCTCGGTGAATAAATACGCCCGCCATAATAATTATTATTATATAAAGAACCCCTTGAGACTAATAGTCTATATTTAAAAGCAGTAATGTCGTTGTCCCCTTTAGATAAATCAAAACGTTCAGCTGCTTATAGAGCTGTTGATGTATGTATCACATCAGAAGTAAAACTTATCGGAATAGGCTCAGGTTCAACAGTGCTTTATGTTATTGAACGTATATTACAACGTTCTAAAGAACTAAATAATCAGTGTGTCTTCATCCCAACTAGCTTTCAAAGTAGACAATTAATTATTGAAAATGGTTTGAATTTAGGTGATATTGATCAGTTAGGAATTATTTCAATTATTTTTGGTTTATAAATTTTTATTTTTTAAAAAGTTATATAAATTAACTTTTTATATATTTGCATAGATATCCAGAAATTGATGTAGCTATTGATGGCGCTGATGAAGTAAATATATATTATTAATCATATATGAACATATAAATACTGTATATTCAACCATTAATTGATTAAAAAAGGTAGATGAACATTTAAATGCTATAAAAGGTGGAGGTGCATGTCAACTACGTGAGAAGGTAGTAGCGGAAGCAGCAAAAAAATTTGTATTGGTTGCTGATTACACCAAAAAATCCAAATTTCTTGGTGAAAAGGTAACTAATTAATATTCCTGATTTATAAAAAAATTGCTTTCATTAGTGATGGATGTTTGACCGTTATGAGTTTTTTTTTCATATATTATATAACATTGTTATAATAGTTACATGTCAAATTTATTGTTAATTCATAAATTATTGATTTTTAGTGGAAGCAAGGAGTACCAATTGAAGTAGTTTCATTCACTTATGTTAGAGTTATGAAGGAACTTGAAGCTTTAGGATGTGAACATATAAAATTACGTATGGCTAAATGTAAAGCTGGTCCGATCATAAGTGATAATGGAAATTTTATAGTTGATGCCTATTTTGGGTTGATAAATGAACCAGGTGAATTATCAAAAAAAATCAAATTAATAACAGGCGTAGTGGAAGTTGGATTGTTTGTTAATATGGCAAAAGTTGCTTATTTTGGTAATGAAAATGGAAGTGTTTTGGAACAAAAATTATTGTAAATTATAATCATAATTATTTTTTGTTAGTAATAGTAATAATAAAAATCAATGGTAATACTTTTCCTCACTAGAATCAATAATATATATATATATATATATATATTATAGTACAACAATGTTGTAAATGCAAATTGATAATGGCAACCAAAAGATCAAAGTTAATATTAAAAGTACTACCACCACCAATAATGTGTTGGTATCATGATGAAAATTTTATTTCTTTTTTAACAATTCAACATTTCTATATGAGATGTTTGGGAATAATTCTCTCTTGTTGAATTATTATTGCCATTGCCGTTTCTTTTCTAAACATCATTGATATATTTAATACCATGTTCATATCCAAATTTGGTTTCCAAGTCATACAATAAAAGAGGGCATCAATCAAAAATAATCGTATTGTAACTTGCGGCTATATTTTTCTTTGTCAAATACCTTATCATCATCATCATCATCATCATCATCATCATCATCATCATCATCATCATCATCATCATCATCATCATCATCATC